GGGTGGGTATCGACGGATTGACAAATTGATTTATTGGTTGGTTGATAGATTGATTAGTTGGCTATCGGATTGATTGATTTATTGATTGACTGGTTGATTCATTGATTGATTAATTTACTGGTTGATTCCTTGATTGATTGATTGATTGATTGATTGATTGATTGATTGATTGATTGATTGACCAGGAAGCGGGCTGTTTCGAATCCCCCTGCCCGATCCATGACAGACCCACCATAAAGGAATACAGAGCTACTCAGTAGAACAATCTTCCATTATTGTGTTTTTGTTTTAGTTGAGGTTGTACGGCGTTCGCAACTGCATAAGGTCATATGATCGCCAAGGGGTGGATGTCAACAGAGAAGTCCAAATGAAGAATCTGACTTACTCTGCTCACCTTTCTAGCCTCAACAGCACAAAGTCTGCTTCGACTATCAAGGCACCCCGGAAATAGCAGTCTACAAGAGAGTGACAAACATACAAAAGAAAAAGAGGAAAAAATGATGATAGTAAGGATGAGGAAAGAGAGAGAAGCAGTTTCCCCAATGCTGTTTCGGCACAGTATGAGCATGGCATTGATAAATCAGCCCATTTACCGTTCTACTGTGCATAAGAACATGTTAATATCCCCCTTTTGTGTGAACCATTTTGGAGAGAGAAGCAAGGCTAGAGTGAAATCAGATGTCCGATGCTTTCTTTCAAGAAGTTACCCAAAGCGAACTGAAGGTATGGACGTTGCAATGTAGGTTAACAGACTAATACAAAGGTGAGGTGAAGCATCGTGGTGAAATCAGGCGCTCGTCAAAGTAATGCAATAGAAGAAACTGACATTTTTCTGTCCGTTTGGCAATTTTTAAAAATTGAATTTCTGTTCTTTGATTCAACACCCTAAGGTCCATTTAAATTTAATTACATTTTTGTGTGCATTTTACTTCAAAACATTGATTAAAGGCACACACACACAAAAAGTAAATTCTCGGTTTCCAAGAACTCTCTGGCTATGGAAGTCTAAGAATTTTGGCGGCTATTTCCCCGCTAACCTTACATCTGAAAAGAGGTGACCACCACCTTCTTTGGAGTTTTATCCGCCGCTTATACCCACCTTCTTCAATGACAAATATCTAGAATTCAGTGTGAGATACATGGGTACTTCTTTCACTAAAAGCAAGGCAAATCAACAGGCTCAAAGATGATACCAATAACTTCATACGTCCCCAAATTGACGAGTGCATGATTCCACCGCGTCGCGACACATTAAGTGCAGCGCCAGGTTTTCACGATAATGTGTCTTGTCGATGAAAAAAAAGACAGGCCATGTACACAGAATTAATCATATTTGCGTGTACACACTAGGGGGAAAAAAACCTAAATAGAAATAACCAAGAAAAATATTTTAAAAACCCCGACACCCCCCCCCCC